GAAAGCAAATTCAATTTGACGATTCCACCGAAGGCTGGGTACACTTTATGGGCAAGAGCCATTCCGCACCGGTTGTTAAAAACGAAATTTGTTTTTTTAATTAGTTCAGGCAGCTAAAATTTAATTAAATTTAAAGTGGAAGGAATACGCAATGCGTTGTGCGGTCCATTAAATAACTGCATGCTTTCTCAATTCAGAGAAAGATTTTGAGCGGAGGTAATTATTCTATTTCTTGATTTGTGATTAACTATATATTTGTAAGTAGCAGAGTTAAGGCTTAGGAGCTCATTGAACTTTAGATTAACGCTTTTCATTTAAAAAAGTTATCTGTTGTTATTCTTTGATGATAAGTTATATTAATGTGCATTAAAAGAACAGGTAATCAAAGGAAGTAACTAACTGTTTGACAATAAATATAATAATTATGGGTATTAATCAACTTTTGAAATAAAAATATATTCGCTGTAGCCATCCTTATCAGAGATTTTCACGTTTATAGCTTTTTCATTACTGATAAGTAAAAATATAAGTTGTATTTTTTCACATATTATTCCAACCAAATCGATCAAAAAGCCTCCAATTTCTTATCATTTTGAAGTGTAACAATTGATGACGGCAAATTTTTTGATATTCATATTTAAATCGCCTTAAAATCGCATCAAAGCCAAATGGCCAATTGAATTGCTACGGTTCCATTCCGCTTCCAATGCGGATCGTCGCAGATGGTCGCGCATAAACTCAGTTGTTTATGGGTCTAAGCGGCTTTGCCGGCTTTCCTGGCTGAGTAACTTCGATTTTGCCCCGGTTTTGTGCCTCCGCATCACCGCCTTTTTACCGGGGCTGCGTGACCAGCTTTTTTTTTTTTATTTTTTTTTTACCATCGGCCATCGGCCATCGGCAATGTCTAATCCATGGCAATTAATTACATCGTTACACGCGCTGCCGCCAAACAACTTAATACAACATAAATAATTGTCAAAATGCTCGGCCACAGACGCGCGAATTAGTCTTCATTATGTCAATAAATCTTGGCCAATTGCCACACCGGATCATGCAACATCCAAACGGGAGTCTATATATCTTTATGCACCTGTCCCACGCCAAAATGCAAACTTAAACTGGGACTTGTCCAATTTTCTTATCAAATTGCGTTTACTTAGATGGACAGCAAATAAAATAGAATTGATTTTAAAAAGTATTATGAAAAGTTGCAATTAACATCTGTTTTTTTCTAAAATTCTTTATTAATAATTTTATGGTATACAGCCAGAAATCAATGGCAAATCACTACAATCATCTCGTCTGAAATTTCAAGTGAATATCCAGTTAAAAGTATCAGTTTTTTTTAACCGACGGGAAATGCCAATTGCCTTATTGATGCAATCCATTTTTTACCGAAACATACTATATAAGTAGTGGATCTAAAGTTGGTCTATGGTCGTCTCAAAAGATGATTATGGTCATGACAACTTAATGACGAACGCAGCTCGGCATGGGAACTCGATCCGATCCGATTCGATCCGTTTGCGATCCCAAAAGCGAGCCCTCGTCTGGAAACCCCTCAAGTTGCCTGGTGACCGAAAAACGAGACTGGCAAATTTGCATAAAAATCAGTGGTAACCCCCGCCTCCTTCAGGTGACATTAACAAGCCACAAAAGGAAGCAGCAGCCACTGTGATACGACCAAATTTTAATTAAAAGTTTAGTGGAGCGAGAGACACACGCCAACGACAACGACAGCGACACAGCAGCAACATCAACACTAAAATCAGCCAGAGAACAACACTGAACTGTGGGCAAAGAATTGCACTCTTGACATAAATTAAGGTAAGATTGTTCTTTATTTTCTTTATAATACAATATTATATAATATAAGGTTAAGCAAATAGCACATACGTTTTTTAAAGTTTATTTACTTGAGTTATTTAACAAAAATGCAGATGTTTTATTTAAAATCGTAGGTTGGTATTTAGAATTGTGGTAATACATTGATTAAATGAAATAAGGTAGGTGTTGATCAAATATTTTAAATTGTTTTCACACGATAAAAGACTTAAACACATCAACATTTAAAATCAACTGCCATTTAAGTTTGTGCCAAAATGTTTGGATTTGGCCCATGGTGCATGCGATCTTTGGGGCACTGCGACCGCAAAAGGTTGCTGGGGCAGAATGCCGTGCAACAAGTGTCAGGCCAGGCAACATGGCTAACAAGCGTCGCCTGTTCGTCGCCGCCATCGTCTGCTGTCAGCAATACACGCAAGAAAAAGGAAATAAAACAAAAAACAGGGAACAAGGAACCACAGCCACACCACCGGGGACGAGGTGTTAAAATAAATATGCAAGCGGTTACAACAAATTTAACATGCCGCTGCAATAATTGAAAAATCATGTTGCCGCACAGCAAATGTTGCGGTGCCCGAGCAACATGTTGCTACATGACTTTGTGCTTTAGTCAAAAATGCAACAAGTAAGGTCAGCACTAAAAACATGAATATTTCTGCAAAATAAATGGTGGAAAATGATCGAAAATAGGTGTACCTCAATTTAAGGAATGCGGCAGAAAGGAGTGTTGAATATATTTGAAAAGTGAAACTAAAAAGGTTGATAACCTTAAGATATAAAGCTTTATAATAAGGATAACTTGGAAATAATTAAATATTAATTATTTAAAACGATTTGGTAATGCTATTTTTTATTAAACTGTCAATTTCTTTAGTGTATACCAAAAGTTAGCATTAAAATCATTTAGTGTACACCAAAAAATATAGTTATTTAACTTTCAATATAATTGATGTCTTGTAAACTATGATAAGCAGTCTTATTCCAATCAAAATTTCGATGGCCATACAAAGAAAACACATTGTTTCACTTTTCCTTGCCCAGTTTTAGGTATCTTCTTACTTTTAATGGTACTGAGTAAGCCTTATAAGTAACTCTAATACCGCAGTCTTTGGACCCTGGGTTCCCAAGTAGCAGAGCTTCTGTTATTTTAGCGATTCCCCCCAGCGGATTGCGGATGTGCATTGTGGCAATATACGGATGGCTCTGCTTTGGCTCAGATTTTCGCATCGGGACATGCCCTAAAAGAATCGCAAACCTCGCCGAGAATCACGTACATAAATAAATAAATACGCAGGCGTATACCGCTCGTATGTTTATATATACTATATTCACGCCGCAGCGGAAGCTGCAACAGTGGCGGGACAGCAACAACAACAACAACAACATGCAATGGCAGCGGTTGAAACAACAAACATTCAAGCCGCCACCGCAATGGTTGTTGTTGTTCATTGTTGGTTTTTGTGGCCAATGCCGCTGCAATTGCCACTGATCGCGTCGATTCAATTAGTAATTCTAAAAAGGCGGCAAGCGACGTCTTTTGCATCTTAATGAGCACAGTTGCTGCTGTGCCAGCACCCGATGTTGCTCCTGTGCCAGCAACACATGCAGCATGTTGCCGCTGCAATAACATTTGTTCATAACAACAAGAAACAGAGACAGGGCAAGTTTTTCCAGCCAATTGTGCCGGCACAGCACTTTTCATGCCCAAATGCAGTTGTGATTGCTGCTGTGACTGTTGCTGCTGTTGTTGCTGCTGCGACTGCTGATGTTGCTGCCTGCTGCTGCTGCATTGACTATTTTTGTCATCCACGTCCACGCACTGGTCGTGCAACATGTTTGCGCGTTCATCTCCGGCTCCTGCCTTTTCCACGGAAAATGTAATTACTGTGACTTAATTTTTTTGTGCAGCGTTTACTTCTATTGCAACGACTGCTGCTCTTGGCCGGCATTGCCATTTCTGAGCTCGCGCATTACAAACTTGGCTCAAATTAATTCTTCAAGCCCAAATGCGATCTGGCCAGGCTGCAGCTAATCAAACTTTAATCAATGCGGCATTTTGATGCGACATTGCTCGTTTCCTTTTTTTTCAACGTTGCAGCCAGTTCCATAGTACCATAGTTGGATCGATGGGAAAATATGCCGCTTGGCCGCTGGGAGGAAATCTGTGTATGGACCTGGCCAAGAAATTGTTAATAATCTGGAATGGTCTTATGGGGATATTAAATGATCGTAAACCTGGCTGGAGTATTTCAAATGCTTCTCTAACAATTTCGATATCTGCTAAGTGCTGCAATCACTTATTATTGGTTTTGATACGAGGCAAGCTAATGGATAATACCACTCCAAAAAAAAAGTATTATTTGATGGTTTTTTCCATTTTTACTGTCTCTGGAATAGGACTTAAACCCCTTTTAATCTAGTATTTATTGAACAGGATACTTCGACACTCAATAATTATATTCCAGCTTGCAATCTAAAGCATCCTCTTTAATCTTCTTCCATCACAATAATAATATATTATTATATATACAACAACTACATGGTTTTCGTTGTCGATATCGTCAACAAAAATAAAAGCGTATCCATTCGACCGAAGCGCTTCAATTTTCATAGCATGACAATCATATTTATATGCACTAACATGCCACCTCCGTCATTTAATGCCGTTTATGACAGTCTAAAAGGTTTTCTTTACAAAATAAAACGTGTTGATTTAATATATTAGTAACGATGTTAATTTTAAATCGAATATTCTTTTTAATTTGTATTTTACTCAATGAGCAAAGCTTTTTAAAATTGCCTTTATTATTATTGTTACGTGCCTATACGACCTTTGACGTATTTATAATCGCGTGTAATACCGCAAGTGTGCAGATTAAATGAACTGTACAGATAATAAACAATGTGATCGACTATTTAATACCCTGTATTCATATATATATTATTCAACTTATGTATGTTTATTTTTAAAACAGCTCAAAATAACCAACCTAAAAATAAAATTAAAATGATAGCTTCTAAAACCGAATTATAAACCATTCAACCATAAAATTTGTTGATAACAAAAAGCTTTTTTCTTGATTGTTATTGTTTGGAACAGTGGTATATAGTATTTTCAAATGATGAGGATTATCGCCATGAGTATAAGGCAAAAGTTATGCCAAAGCTCAGTGGGTGAGGAAGTCCCTTGTAGAACGGATCGTTGGAATAAAATAGCGACAAAATGTGGATCGCTCTGCTGGGAACTCCACTTTTGTTGGTGGTTCTTTGGCTTCTGCTTAAACAGCTAAATAAAACATACTTTATTCTTTCATTGAGTAAACGAGTGCGAACGGAGGATGGCAGTCCATTGGAGAGCAAAGTGGTCGTAATTCCCGGAAAAACGAGATTTGGAAACAATTTGGATCTTCTGAACTTTACGCCTGGTAGGTAATACCATTATTTAAAACTATAAATACTAATTCTTACTTCTTAATGCAGCAACTGTTTTTAGCTTTATGCGAGAATCCACTGCTAAGGCCAAAGGTCGGAATTATCTGTGGTATTTTCTATACGCACCCATGTATAATGTGGTTCGGGCAGAGGAGGCTGAGGAGATATTCCAGAGCACCAAGCTGATAACCAAAAATGTGGTCTACGAACTGATTAGACCTTTTCTAGGTGACGGCCTTTTGATTAGCACCGGTAAGTAATGCTTTCTAAAGTGTTTAATTACTTTTACTAATTAGTCTTTGGTTTTCTAGACCATAAATGGCACTCCAGAAGAAAAGCCTTGACACCGGCTTTTCATTTTAATGTACTACAGTCTTTCTTAGCTATTTTCAAGTGAGTATAAATAAACAAACACCACTTACAGTACTTAGAATATTTTATATTATTGCAGAGAGGAGTGCAACAAGTTAATCAAAGTTCTTGACAAAAATGTAGATGGCGAGTTGAATCTGAACCATGTTATTCCACAGTTTACTTTAAATAATATATGCGGTAAGTGTAACCACATTTTAATATTAATTTTAACTAATTAAATATTATTTTTCAGAAACCGCTTTGGGTGTAAAGCTGGATGACATGTCAGAGGGCAATGAATACAGAAATGCTATCCATGCTATCGAAGAGGTTCTCATACAACGCGTTTGCAATCCTCTGATGTATTACAACTGGTACTTCTTCCTTTACGGAGACTATCGCAAACATGCGGAGAAACTTCGGATTGTCCACGACTTCTCAAGTCGCATTATTGAACGCAAAAGGCAGCAGTTCCAGAAAAAACAACTTGGGAAAAAGGATGAATTCGGCAAAAAGCAGCGATATGCCATGTTGGATACCCTTTTGGCAGCCGAAGCAGAAGGTCAGATTGATCATCAGGGAATCTGCGATGAGGTCAACACGTTTATGTTTGAGGGATACGATACCACATCCACCTGTTTGATCTTTACTCTACTCATGCTGGCCCTTCACGAGGATGTCCAAAAGCGATGCTATGAAGAGGTGGAAAATCTTCCCGAGGACAGCGATGAAATCACTGTGTTCCAATTCAACGAACTCGTCTATTTGGAGTGCGTGATCAAGGAATCGCTCAGGATGTTTCCCTCGGTGCCCTTCATTGGACGTCAATGTGTGGAGGAAAGTGTGGTGAATGGAATGGTTATGCCAAGGGACACCCAGATCAGCATCCACATCTACGACATTATGAGGGATCCTCGCCACTTCCCGAAGCCAAATCAGTTTCAACCGGAACGCTTTCTGCCGGAGAACACAGTGAACAGGCATCCTTTTGCCTTTGTGCCTTTTAGTGCTGGTCAAAGAAATTGCATTGGTCAGAAGTTTGCCATTCTGGAGATGAAAGTACTGCTGGCAGCGGTTATCAGGAATTTTAAGCTGCTGCCCGCCACTTATTTGGAGGATCTTACTTTTGAAAACGGAATCGTGCTACGCACCCAGCAGAATATCAAAGTGAAATTGGCGAAAAGGGTCAAATAGTCATATATTAAATAAGAAAAAAATGTTTACCAAAGATGTTTAAATTTGTAAAATCTTAAAAGAAAGAAAATAAAATAGAATAGATTTAATTACTGACTGATAAGAAAATGATTTTCAAGATAAACTCAATGATCTGTGGGTTGCTTATATTAATTCAGATACATTCCTAGTATATTTAAATTGTTTACTAATATTCTTATATTTTAAAAATTCAAAAAATTATTTATTTTACAAAATACATTTACAACAGGTTTTAACAGGAAAAGTAATAGGCCCATTTATTCCCTAACCTGGGTGAACACGTTTTATACTAAATGCATGTTAATTATATGGCAACAACGTTTTGTTCCGATTACTGAGTTTCCAATCGACAATTGCCATTATTAGATCAGAGCTTAATCTGTGAGGTATTAAAAGGTCTGGGCGGAATAAACGTTTAGCACAGAAATGATATTGGAGCTCTTAATATCTGTACCATTGCTGGTTTTTCTAACTTGCAAGCTGTGGACTCACATAAATCGGAATTACTTCATCCTAAGCCTCTGCAAGCGACTACGCACTGAGGATGGCAGCCCGTTGGAAAACAGAATTTACGTAACGCCAACCAAAACCCGATTTGGAAACAACTTTGACCTACTGAGCTTCACATCTGGTGGGTTTAGTTAAAATTAAACATCATCTATATCTAATTTTTTGAAATATAATAATAGAAAGCATATTCAACTTCATGAGAAAAGCTTGCGCTGAAGCCAAAGGTCGAAATTATCTGTGGTATTTCTTCAAAGCCCCAATGTACAATGTTGTCAGGGCCGAAGAAGCCGAGGAAGTATTCCAGAGTCCCAAGTTGATCACAAAAAACATGATCTACGATCTTTTGAAACCGTTTTTGGGAGAAGGGCTGTTGACCAGCACAGGTTTGTTCAATTTTAGAAATTTCATTTCAATTTCTTAAACAATTTGAACCCATATATAGATCAGAAATGGCACTCCCGACGAAAGACTTTGACTCCAGCTTTCCATTTTAATGTTTTGCAGTCGTTTCTGACCATATTCAAGTGGGTATTCTAATTAAAAAAAAGGTGAAAGTTTAAAATAATAAAACACTTTTAGGGAAGAGTGCAATAAGCTGGTAAAAATCCTTAATCAAAGTTTGGACAACGAGTTAGACCTTAATCAGGTCATTCCTCAGTTTACTTTGAACAATGTTTGCGGTAAGTTCATTTATAAGCAACGAAACGAAATCGCAAGCTTTGAACCCTATATAAATTCAAAATCAGCATGACTAGCTGAATATTTTAATATAAATAATGCCCCTCTATCTCGGCCCAAATATAATATAACATATAATCACAATGTACACGAGCAATAATCAATGACGTCGTTCGGCACTTAGCAATTTAATGGAATAAATTACCATATTAATAAATTCCATTTCAGAAACTGCACTGGGCGTGAAATTAGATGACTTAACTGAGGGCTTTCGATATCGCCAATCGATTCACGCCATAGAAGAGGTCATGCAGCAGCGTTTATGCAACCCCTTTTTCTATAACACAGTGTATTTTTATTTCTTTGGGGATTATAGAAAGCAGGTGGATAACCTAAAGATAGCCCACGACTTTTCCAGTCGCATCATCGAGAAGAGAAGAAGTCTTTTGAGGAGTAAGCAACTTGGCCAAGAGGATGATTTTGGCAAAAAGCAGCGATATGCCATGTTGGATACCCTTTTGGCAGCTGAAGCAGAGGGTCAGATCGATCATCAGGGAATCTGCGATGAGGTCAACACTTTTATGTTTGAGGGATACGATACCACATCAACCTGTCTTATTTTTACCCTGCTGATGTTGGCCCTGCATGAGGATGTTCAGCAGCGATGCTTTGAAGAGGTGGAAAATCTTCCCGAGGACAGTGATGAGATCAGTCTGTTCCAGTTCAATGAACTCTTTTATTTGGAGTCTGTGATTAAGGAATCGCTGAGGATGTTTCCCTCGGTGCCCACCATTGGTCGCAAATGTGTTAAGGAGTGTGTGGTGAATGGTCTAGTCATGCCCAAGGATACCCAAATCAACATACACATGTTTGATATCATGAGGGATCCTCGGCACTTTCCAAATCCAGATACTTTTCAACCAGATCGATTTCTGCCGGAGAATACCCTGAATCGTCATCCCTTCGCCTTTGTACCCTTTAGTGCAGGTCAAAGGAATTGCATTGGACAAAAGTTCGCCATCCTGGAGATCAAAGTTCTCTTGGTGGCGATTATCAGGAATTTTAGGATATTACCCATAACTTTTGTGAAGGATATTACCTTTGAAAATGGAATAGTGCTGCGAACTCAAAAAAATGTCAAGATTAAATTGATGCGAAGGGAACAAGATAAATAATGAAAGCTTATTGTAAATTGCAAATACAAAAGTAGAGCCTAATCACTAATATTTTTTTTCAATTTATTGTTTTCCAATACAACCTTAAGCAAATAAACAAACCATAACATTCTCTGATAATCAAAAGCTATTTATTTATTGCTGCATTTGTTGATATAGTTTATGCCAAAGCTCAGTGGACTGTGAAATTCGATGTAGAACGGTTGGCCCGTCGAAAATAGCTACAAAATGTGGATCGCTCTGCTGGGAACTCCACTTTTGTTGGTGGCCCTTTTTCTTTGGCTAAAACAACTCAATAAAACTTACTTTATTCTTTCACTTTGCAAACGAGTGCGAACGGAGGATGGCAGTCCACTGGAGAGCAAAGTGGCCGTAATTCCCGGGAAAACGCGATTTGGCAACAATTTGGATCTTCTGAACTTTACGCCTGGTAGGTAGTAGCATTATATAAAAGTATAAAAACTAATTCTTATTATTTAATGCAGCAACTGTTTTTAGCTTCATGCGAGAATCTACTGCCAAGGCCAAAGGTCAGAATTATCTGTGGTATTTTCTATTTGCTCCCGAGTATAATGTGGTGCGTGCCGAGGAAGCAGAGGAGATATTCCAGAGCACCAAGCTCTTAACCAAGAATATGGTTTATGAAATGATCAGGCCTTTTTTAGGTGACGGCCTACTGATCAGCACAGGTAAGTAAACTGGTTTTATTAAGTTAAATAATCATTTTCTAATTTTTATAGACCAAAAATGGCACTCTAGACGAAAGACCTTGACGCCTGCTTTTCACTTTAATATTTTGCAGTCTTTTTTGTGTATTTTTAAGTGAGTGATTGCGTAAAAAATTGATTTTGTTATAACAATTTTACAATTCTATTTCAGAGAAGAGTGCAACAAGTTTCTCAAAGTTCTTGACAAAAATGTAGACGGCGAGTTGGATCTTAACCAGGTTATTCCACAGTTTACTTTAAATAATATATGCGGTAAGTTTTAATACTATTTTAATGAATACATTTATTTATTAAATATTATTTCTTTAGAAACCGCCCTGGGTGTAAAACTGGACGACATGTCGGAGGGCAACGAATACAGAAAGGCCATCTACGCCTTTGAAGAAGTTCTGATACAACGCGTTTGCCATCCGCTGATGTATTACGACTGGTACTTTTTCCTCTTTGGAGACTATCGCAAACATGCGGAGAAACTTAGGATTGTTCACGACTTCTCAAGTCGCATTATTGAACGCAAAAGGCAGCAGTTCCAGCAAAAGCAACTTGGGGAAGTGGATGAATTCGGCAAGAAGCAGCGATATGCCATGTTGGATACCCTTTTGGCAGCCGAAGCAGAGGGTCAGATTGATCATCAGGGAATCTGCGATGAGGTTAACACTTTCATGTTTGAGGGATACGATACCACATCCACTTGTTTGATCTTTACTCTACTCATGTTGGCTCTTCATGAGGATGTTCAGCAGCGATGCTTTGAAGAGGTGGAAAACCTTCCCGAGGACAGCGATGAAATCACTGTGTTCCAGTTCAACAAATTAGTCTATTTGGAGTGCGTGATCAAGGAATCGCTGAGGATGTTTCCCTCGGTTCCCTTCATTGGACGTGAATGTGTAGAGGAGAGTGTGGTGAATGGTTTAATCCTTCCAAAGGACACCCAGATCAGCATCCACTTATACGACATAATGAGGGATCCTCGTCACTTTCCAAACCCAAATCAGTTCGAACCAGAAAGGTTCCTCTCGGAGAACACGGTGAACAGGCATCCCTTTGCATTTGTGCCTTTTAGTGCTGGTCAAAGAAATTGCATTGGTCAGAAGTTTGCCATTCTGGAGATGAAAGTACTCCTGGCAGCGGTTATCAGGAACTTTAAGCTGCTGCCCGCCACTCAGTTGAAAGAATTAACTTTTGAAAACGGATTAGTTTTACGCACCCAACAGAATGTTAAAGTCAAATTGGCGAAGAGAATCAAAGCGTGATTTACTTAAATAATAATCTGTTTAAAAACAAATGGTTTCTGGGCTTCAATCACACCAGATCTATTAGTTTCCATTGTTTGTCAATCCTAAAGTTTCCTACCCTGTATTTTTATATAGGATCAAAGCAGCCTAAAAGTATGCAACAATTCTTTATTTTCAATGAATGTGATACACTAAAATGTATGTAAAATAAACCATCATTGGATTTTTTTTATTATCTACCTGACATAATTTTTTATGAGATATATAATTTTTTTAGCAACATATAAGTGCCTTGAATAATGAATCATTGTTTCCATTTTATATTTGTTAAAACATATACAAATCAAAAAATGGATTAAAATAATAAAATGACTGTCCATTGTAAGCAAAAGTATTCTTAGAAACCCGCTGTTAACAGAATGCAATACAAACTGAGGTTCCGTCGCTGTTATCGAACATGTTTCTACCGTAAACAATGTAATTATCAATAATTATTTATAGAACCAACACAAAATCAGATGCACTTGCAGAAATTCATTTGTCCCGTTTCTATTGATTGCCAATTGGACAAAGAAAAGGTAAGTAAATCCAATTAGAAGTACACTGTAAAAGCCTGTTGCTTTTAATGAAATAAGAATGCAGCTTTCCGAATTTCTCTAGAACTTGACATACACAAAAGTTAATAAACAAAAACAGCCACACGTGCAGTCGGATTATTTAAACAAACGAACGCTGTAATTATTGGTAAAATATGACTAAAACAAATGAAGAGAACAGAAGGCGTCCTTAACATTTTTGCTCGTATAAACACTAGACTTGTGTGGCAAAATAATGATTTTTCTAAGTCGATTTTGGGGTGGCAGTTAAGGGCCTTTATTATAGCATGGTTTCGCTGGCAAATGCCTAATTTAATTATATATTTCCATTTTGCGCATCGAATAACAAAACAAACCGCACGCACACATACAAACACAGTCACATGCACTGGCAGTGCACCAAACACACACACATGGAAAGGCGCGCATCATGGAAAACATTTTATCCTGCCATTTTCCGGCTCTTCAGCTTAAATTGTTTCATGTTCCTTTTCCTTCACTAAAACATCCACTCACCAGTTGTTAGCTTTAACTGCACAATAATCACATTTACCCCGAAAACTAACAAAAAACACAGCATTTTTTATTCCGAATTCGTTAACACCACAAATAACATGAGAGGTGGAAAAACTTCGATACCTAACTCGATTACATCGATTTACCCAAAAAATCGAAATGTGTGCATCTCTAACGATGTTAAGTCACTCCAGCTCATGCACACTGTTAACTTTTCACTCAAGTTATGGCACACTTAGCCTGTTTCCACTTCGTTTCTGTTAAAATTCTTCCTTTCTGCTAAAGTGCACTCATTATTAACAGGATTCATGTTACAAATAGATTTTAATTTAAAAAATAATGAATTATTTTAAAAGGAAACCTAGAAGTCAAGAAATATTTTTGTTTATGAGGTTAAAATCTTTGAGCAATATATAGTTGAGCAGTTTTAAATATTTAAAAATATTCGAAAGTTTTCCATAAAAATTATTTTAAATATAGATACTTAAAGTTTGACTTTTCTATCCGATTCAAAGTTTAAACATTTTCGTTTATAAAACATAGCTCCCAGTTACCAATAAAAAATACAAACATTTTTGGACTTCTGTTGGTTTTTTAAATAATTGTATATTTGGTTTTTTTTTGTTGTATTATTGTTTGTTGATACTTTTAAAAAGTAAACTTCTATTTTGATCGAAAGTATTGATTGAAGCACAGGTGACCACATAGCAATGTGAATCGAGTGGCAAGTAAACTTAATTAAGGTTGTTCTTTACATATAAATCGAGCGAGTTATTGGGACGAACAAGGGTTTAACAAAAGCAATATTAAAGTATTAGAGTATTGGCTAACTTAAATCGCAATTTAAATACAAATTTACGTGTGTGTATGGTTACAGCTTTACAGGTCTTTTGTCGTTACGTATTATATAAATATCATAGATCATTTCGTTTCGTTCATTTCAATTTCTTCTACCAATAAAATTAACAACAATTCCGATGCATTTGATTGGGCACGTGATAAACATTGATAAACGTGCTCGCCTACTCAGACGCATAACAAATTTAAAATACTGTTTCTTCTAATATAATTAATATATACGATAACTATTTCAGTAGTCAATTAGTAAGGTCAACATTGCAGTTAGACACGAACGAACCTATCTGTATATATATGTATATATGGGGACTTTTTTGCTTGCATTTTGTAAATAGTTTCTCCGTTCGCATTAAGTTAGTCGTTTACTAGTTAATTGTGTTACGAATTGGTACACTAGTGTGGATTGTTCCTTTTTTTTGCGCGTGGGTGAGTTTAAGTTAGAGTTAACGTTAGGCTCAAAGTCACATTAGTTATTGCTGCGGTGCATTCGCGTGTCGAACAACATGCGTTCACATTCATTCACAAAAACGACGAGTATGCAAACTTAATCTACCGGCTGTTGTATATGGTCTAAACATTCATAACGATATATATATATATGTATATTGGTGCACGTTCGATGTCTGCTGATGCCAATGCTGATGCTGAGCACCCCTCCCCAGGTTGTCTTTTCTTTTCGTATATTTGGAAACTATAAACTATATCCGTTTGCCGTTAAAGGCAAACTAAGGCATGCCAGGCAGTCCGCCGCCCACAAGTCGGTGCTGCTGCTGCTGCTGTTGCTGCTGCTGGTGAATTAGGTTCACCCGCGCCCGCTGCTGCTCCAGCCGCTGCACTGTGGCGGTCAGATGAGAGTTCTCCACGTACAGGTCCTTCACCAGGATGTCGGCATTCTGCAGCCGTTGCGTCTGGTCGGCCAGCATAACACCCTGCGTCTCGATGCGGCTATGCAGATCGTTGAGCTCCACTTGATGCTGGCGCCAGGATTCTAAAGTAAAGTGAACAAATTGCTTAGAATCGTTTTTCAAAATCTTAATTTTGTATTCTTGCAGGGGGTATAACAGTTTCATTCAAAAGTTTGCGAACCTTTAAAGTAAATAAGATCATGATTACATTACACTCTTTTACTTTTTATAAGAATTTAATTTTAAATTGTTTAGTTTTTATATTAAAGTTTTATATAAATTCTTAAATTTAATTAATTTAAATTGTTCACTACATTTTTTAAACTAAAGCCCATCGATCATTTAGTTCTGTACTGTGCACCTTTTTTATATAGTTACCAAAACTAGGAACTACAAGATATTTCCTTAAAATTAATTGTTACTTTTAAATTTTTAAAAATATACGAAACTATATCTGGTGGTAAACTGTTTAGGATTTCTGATTTTGTTTTATTAAAATCAGTCAAGGATATCATAAAGCTTTTATAGGAACGATTGAATAATCCATCGGAAAATCGACACAGCTTCATAGATTTCAAACATAAAAGCATATAAATTAAAATATAGTCGTTTTTTAATATATTTTAATTTTCCAATAGCTTTAAGGGTATATAAAGTGTTATTCCTTTCTTGGTTTATACTCACGCTGCATCAGGGACTCGGTGTACTGCTGCTGCTGCTTGATGACGTTTTGCAGATGGCGATTTCGCAGCTCCAATTGGTTCAGTCGCTGCTGAAGCGTTGGGTGCGTTGTTCGCTGAGGGTAAATAGGTATATATGGCATATTAAATATAATTTACTACCCGAAAAAAGTCTTAAGTCCCAGCTCACCGCATAGGCCTTCTCGAGAACGGGTCTCGCCTCCTGCAACTGATGCAGTTCCATGACCAATCCATCTCTTTGCAGGCTCAAGTCCTTGATTTGCTCCTTGAGGGAGAGCTCAAAGAACTTGAGACGCTTCAGTTCCTCCTTCAGGGCCGAAGGACTACTGCACTTGTCGTGGCTAAGGCAAGACGCTTTACTGGTGGACTCAAAGCTCTTGTTGGATGCCGTCGACGAGGTCTCGCAGTCGGCGATCTCTCCCTCCGACGGAATTTGCTGCGGACTCTGTGCCCGCTTCGGTTTGCTGATGGGAGCAGGACCAGAGGGAGCGGCATTCGTGGTGCCACCACTGTTGGTGGGCGAAGGACCCGAAGGAGAGCTCTCGAAGGGCGTGGTGCTGAAGATGGATGTCTCCGAAGTGGTGAGGTTATTGCTGTTCAATCAAAAAGTAATGGAAAACCATCATACAAAGGGAAAGGTCATAGGGGTTTAGTCGGTTTAACAAAAAATAAGCAATATTTTCTTGACGCTGTTCCTAAAACTATTAAATTTTCCTGATAAATTAATCATTTATTCTTGTGGTCAATTTAAAAGTGTATATAAAAACAAAAAAACTATATTAAGATTGAACAAAACCAGACTCTCAAGTCACAACATTACCTTTGTAAAAAATTAAATTAAACCAGGCTTTCCTATATTTATATTTCAGTTCAGAGAAATTTTTGTAAAAAAAATCTAATCGACATAAAAGAAATTTACCATAAATCCTTGGTGAAAGTTATTTTTATCAGATCAGTCAAAGATTTTTATGGTTCCAATTCTATACAGCAAATAAGAAAATATTTACACAAAAAATGCATTGTTCTAAATCAGGCAGAGCACAATTCAAATAAAAGTCAAACGAAATCTATAAGTCTAAAATCAGAAATTGTTTTGGTGATTTTTATTGAAATGATAAATGAATTTCCTGTTTATTTCTAAAATTTCGATATTTTGAGGCATTTCTATATGAATATAAATTACATTTATTGAACAAGCACATACATACACTTAAAGTCTAAACAAGCTTAGATTAGATTAGACACATGTTAGAAGTGGGGGACAAAAGCAAAACATATATACAAGGTAGACAGTGCGGTGAATGAAGTTAATAAAGATTTCTTGAATGAAAGTAAAATTAAAATTAGTGGGGGACGCAGGACACACGGGGATGCACACACCAAGGACACACACAGAGATGCATACTCACCGGCTGGCTGTCTTGTGCGATGGTGAGCCTCCCAGCAGTTCGATGGCACTGGCGGTGGCCTCATCCCTGGCGTCAGCGAAGGACTTCGCTGGCTCCTGGATGGTGCTCTGCAGCCAGAGGTAGCTGATGGGCGAGCTGGCGGGACTCTTTCCCGCCTCGGCACTCAGTTGTGCCACCGACTCCGAGGTGAGTTCGCAGGCACCGGTGAGAATCTCCACACTCTCACCCAATCGCTGACGCAGATCCTCGATCTCGGACTGAAGGGAACCGATCTCCTGGGCCTTCTCCTCGAGCATTTGCATGGATGTGGAGCGCAAGTGGGCCGCCTCGGCCTCCAGTTCGGTGTACTGCTGCTCCAGCATGTCCCGCTCGTCGATGGGCGAGAGGCGGCCATCCTTGCTGAACTGCTCCTCGTACTCGCGCACCTTCTCCATCAGCTCGGTGAACTTCTTGTCGCTCTCGTGCTGCTCATCCTCGTAGATCTGGCGCTCCTTTTCGAACATTTGCCGCTCGTCGCTGAGCTTCGACTGCCAGTAGTCCTCGCAATCCTCGTAGGCGCGCTGCATTTGCTCCAGACTGGCCTCCAGCTCCTTGGAACGGCTTTCGGGCGTGAGAGATCTGCCTTCCTTGGCCGCCTTCAGTTCCGTTTCCAGTTCAGCTACCCGCTCCTTGAGCTTGTTCAGCTCCTCATCCTGGCTTTGACTTCGCTGCAGCTCGGAATTCAGAGCCAACCAATCGCCACTATTACTGGCATCACTTTGCTCACCCTCCGTGCACTTGCGCTGTTTTCCCAGCCGCGGACTCTCCTCGGTGAGATGGCTTTTGCTCGGCGAATCCCCACGCCTCTTGGTGGCCGTGGCAGCCGCTTCCTGATCCTCCAGCTTTTCCAGCTTTTCCTGCTTCTTGCCCTTGCTCTTCGAGCGGATTAGCTCGACATTGAGGCTCTCGATTTCGATGGTCAGTTCGTCAGTCTTGTCGCGCAGCTGGGCATTCTCCATTTGCAGGGCGGCCAGTTTCTCCATCAGCTGGAGCATCTCCTCCTCCTTGTCCTCGCTGTGCCTGCGCGGACGCAATGGACTGTGGTCGGGCGTGCCAGCGATGCTGCTGCTCGACCTTTGGGCCAGTTCCTGGTTGAGCTTTATGTTCTGCTCGAGCAGCTCGGTGAGTTGAAGGTGCGCCTTCTGCTGCTCCGTCTCCAGCTCTGAGTTCTCAGCGCGCACCAGTTCGAGATCCGTTTTCAGACGGATCTCCTCCTGCTCCAGCGATTTGAGCTGCGCCTCCAGCTTGCCCGTCATGCTGGTCCAGTGATCGCGATCATTGCTCATCCGCAGCGTCATCTCCCGCACCATGCTGGCGTGTCGTTGCTCCAGCAGCTGCACCTGCTGCTTGGAGCTGTCCTCCAGCGAGGCATGCCGCTCGTCCACTTCCACGGCCAGCATAGCCACCCTCTGGTTGGCCGCCTTGTTGTCGGCCCTCAGCTTGCAGTTCTCCTCGTGCTGCTGGCGATAGGCCATCCGGTAGTTAGCCAGTTCGGTGGCCTGCAGCACAGCCAAGGCACGCAGCATGTGCGACTGCTCCTGATCGCCCTCCAGTCCTCGCAGCTCCTCCTCCAGCGCCTTGGTCAGCTGCTGCAGGTTCACCTCCTCGTCCTCGTCGAAGCCGAGAATGTGGAGCAGGGTGCGACTGTTGGGAATGCTGGCCAGCTCCCAGGCCTCCATGATGCTGGCCACACTGATCGTCTCCAGCTGCTGTGGCGTCACGGTGTCTGCAAGTCATGGCAATCAGCAATTAACGTGGGTCGGTTAATATCAAGTTGTTGCTCTTCTGTTTATATACACATTTAAATTATATAGCCCGAGATACCAAAAGGGTGTGGAATCGGAATTGGGAACGGGAATGGATGTGGGAGTGGATGTGGATGTGGATGTCAATGGTGGAAGCGAAAGCGTCGAAGGTTCGCTGTTTCCCTTTATTAATTAACCTAATTATAAATGGCTGTATTGACTAGAGAATCAAACATAAATCTTTTGAAAAATATTAATGTATTCATATAAAAAAACTAACATTTTTATTTTAGAAGAATTTAAGAAATGTTAATTAAGTTAATCCATTAATATAATGGTTTAAGTTTATCCATTAATATAATTAATAATATTGATTTCTTTAAGTCTCCCTAAGCAATCAGAGGAACATGTAAATAACTTTTGTAATTAAGAACTCAGTTTACTTACTAGCTTGGGTCTAATCGATTTATAAATTTAAAAAGGGAGTTAGTGGCCTAATGATAACTTAACGAAATGAAAAAGCAAAAGCATGATTTAAATAGAAAAAATGATTTTAAAATGTAAAAAAGAAAAAATAAATTTGGGAAAGCAGCCTATCAATCGGTAGATAAAACTAAATGAGAACTTTTGCTTAATATTAAACCAATTATATATTAAAATATATTTAATACAACAATAGTTTTGAAAACAATAATTACTTTTTCGTAAATCTTGATTAAAACTTCATTTGAACAAGCACAGTAGATGGTGGATCTACCATCTGTTGATATATTGATTGAGTTTTAATTTCGTCAACGATTTCCAACTTTATTAGGGGTAGGTATTTTGGGATGTATGTGATTATACGTAGAACGAATCAACATGTGCGGCTACATAGGGTGCGATTAGATACCGAAAGACTTGGGTTGGGGGGTATTCGGTGGGTGTGTGTTTGGGTTTGGGTGTGTGTGGGGTTGTGTGGGGATGTTGACAATTGCTCGAGGGAGCGCACAAACCTTTGCAACATGACCAACGGCCGCCGTGGTAGCATCTCCGGTGCTCGGACGACGGTGCGGAATTGGTGGCCAGGTGATGGCCTACGGTGTGTACCGACAACAAGTGTTTTGCATTGGTAATTGCTCTTGCTTCAAACGTAATTGGGGCATTTTGGCCTAACAACAACAGTGGGTGGCAGGGGCAGAGGGGTCGGCTAAACTGGGAATCAGCGTGGTTGTTCGCGAGTGGTAACTTACCCAGGGATTCCACGCTGCTGTTGTGCTGCGTCTGGCTCTGGATGGACAGCTGCTTCAGCTTGGAGGCAGCCGTCGGCGAGGAAGTCACTCCCGTGGCGGTGTTGTGCATCTTGGAGTGAAGAATCCTGCGTGCCGGCAGCGAAGCGCATCTCTTCAGTTTACTGCCACTGGTGTGGACGGATCGCAGGCGTCGACTGCCAGGAAGATCACTTTGGGACGATGATCGTTGGACCTGTAAAGATTCAGTATGGGATATTTTTAATACAGATCTTTATTACAAACGATTTGTTTACATTTTTTTTATAGATATGCAAAAGAAATTTATGTTTTTTACGATTTTAAACAAAGAAAACATGCCATATAGTATTTTAAGACTGTAATATTTGTGGATTTTTGCTCTTGAATAACAATTCTATCATTGAAGAATTTTAAATTACATTGTATAAGAGACATCATTAATCATCGTTAATGAAAATTAGGTCGATTAAGACCTAATATATTAAAACTTTAAGCTTAATGAAGGTAAAATTACAAATCCCAAACAAACACTTAAATGTATTATTTTCCCTTTTTATAACATGACGTTACTTAGTCACTTTCTACTGTACTAGCATTAAGTAATTACGATTCAGAAGCAAAATGTGTTGACTTTGCTGCTTTCGCTTACAGAACCAGAAGTTGTACGGCCACTTTGTACGTGACATAACGTTCGCCACTCACCTGAGCTCCCAGCTCATCACAGCCGTTGAGACTCCGCTGCTTCTGCTGCTGCTGCAGCTGATCCTCATCCGTGTTGTCCGAATCCGTGACGGATAGCTCGTAGATGCCGTGATGCGGCCTGGACCGACGTCCGTATTTCTTGGATCCCACAATGAGTTTGGGTGACACTTCGCGATCGGAGGACTCCGGCGGACTCTCAATATATGTGCTGGTTAGGGGCTCATCCGTGATCACCAGCGAACGCTCTGCAAGATTCAACAAGTATAGGTTAGTAGAGAATTGAAGGAGTTGTATGGATCTCAGGTGAGTACCAAAGCGAGCGGCTAACTTCAGAATTATTGGATCTGTTGTGTGTCCGCCAGATTGGCGGTAATACAAACGCGTTCCCATTTCGATTGAGACTAAACTGTCCAAATGAATGGGTTGTCTATTTATGCAGCATCTCGCCGGCTACCTGATAATAACAGGATCAGGACCAGTATCAGGTAGCCAAAAGCAACAGTTGTGGGTCGTAAAAAATTAGCAATTGCATCTTTGCATTTATGACCGTCAGCTGTCGACGCGCTAATCCGCGAACTGATTATGATATTCGTACCCTTATGGCATCCTGTTTTGTCTAGAAATTTCTAAAGCAGATAAGGAAGCGGCCCCGAAGAACATATTGTTATCCTTGATCAGCATAAGTGTGCCTCCTTATGCAAATTAGGCTTAATATTTTCGGGCAGAGTAAATTATACTATATGTTACATATGTATGCAAAGCTACTATAAGAATACTAGAGTGGTTTAGATCAGCACATCTCTTTTGATTTTAAGGAATTTATATCAAATTTATAAATCGAGGGTACAATTTAGCTATACAAATGTTATTAATTTTAATGAAGTGCAATTGGTATTGTATTTTAATCGCAATACCAAAGCATATAGGAATATCCTAATTATGACCTGCAAGGGATCAGAATTGGAGTTTTTTCGTTAATATTATTGGAAAATGTGTCTAAAAAATGTATATTAATACAATTTTTAAGTAAGTATCCAATAATATGTTAAAAGCTGGGTAACTTAACTGTTTTCTATGATATTGGGGATCTATTTTAACTATGTTAAATTTAATACAATATGCGCTATAACATTTTTAACAAGAAAGAAAGCAAACTTCGGCAAGCCGAAGTTCATATACCCTTGCAGCTATTGCAAGAATTAAACATTTTTGAAAACATTCAAATTATATGTTTATGTATATGTATATGTTTAAAAACATTGAAGCTATGATGATTTGCAGCTCAATTATTTGAAAGTTATTTTATATATTTTTATTATTTCTAAGGGAGCTATATGATATAGACGTCCGATTTTGATAAAATTTAAACTATAATTCTGAAATATTTAACCATTGCTATATGTCGAAGAACTAAACAAAAAAATAATAAACAGAAAAGTTATAATTTTTTTCATTTATTTTTCCGATTGTTCCTATGGGAGCTATATGATATAGTCGTCCGACTTTGATGAAATTTAAACCGTAAATCGGAAATATGTAACCATTACTAAATGTCGAAGAACTAAACAAAAAATTGAAAAACAGCAAAGTTCTAATTTTTTTCATTTATTTTTCCGATTGTTCCTATGGGAGCTATATGCTATAGTCGACCGATTTTGATGAAATTTAAACCGTAAATCGGAAATATTTAACCATTACTAAATGTCGAAGAACTAAACAAAGAATTAAAAAACAGCAAAGTTATAATTTTTTTTCATTTATTTTTCCGATTGTTCCTATGGGAAATATATGCTATAGTCGTCCGATCCGGCTCGTTCCGACTTATATACTACCTGGAATAGAAAGACAACTTTTGGGAAAGTTTCATGCAGATAGCTTTAAAACTGAGAGACTAGTTTGCATATAAACGGACGGACAGACGGACAGACGGACGGACAGACGGACATGGCTAGATCGACTCGCCTAGTGATGCTGATCAAGAATATATATACTTTATAGGGTCGGAGATGTCTCCACTGCGTTGCAAACTTCTGACTGAAATTATAATACCCTCTGCAAGGGTATAAAAATAATGAATCCTGTATTGAATGCAAATCTTTTTTTTCTATACCATGCTTACTGCTAAAAACCAGATTGTGAAAAATGGTGGCCAAGCGGGAGGTATTTTCTGATTCCTACTCGCTGACAAAATTGAATTACTATCTTTAATAACTGTAATTTGTTATTATCTGATATTGCTTGAAGGGTAATTAAATCACCATTACAGATAGACGTACATATGTTATTGTTTTATGAGAACCTTTCGGGGTATAGCTTATTAAGTATATTTCATAAGCTATATCGTAGGGTATTCCCAGTTTAGGTGAACCCATGTTTTCTCACCCATAAATCCCGATGACGTCGTGCCATCGAACTCCGATCCGAGAAAGTTGAGCAGCGCCTCCTTGAACTGGGCAAAGGACACGCCCAGTTTGTGGCTGCCGCCCAGACTGGCGATCAAAGCGGATCCTTGATCCCGCAGTTCCAGCAGGGAGCAGAGTTTCAGCAGGGACTTCTCGTCCAGCAGGCCACATTGCGTCTCACAGCTGCGGAACATTTGGTAGAGCTTCTGCTCGTACGGATCGGCGGATACCTCCATTATCCGTATCCCGGGGGATTCAGTTTGCGGCCGGTGAAATCGATTGAGGTTCACAAATTTCTTCTTTTCTTTTGGGGGGAGAAATCCACGGGACGCAGTCAGGGGTCGAAAACAAAAAAAATAATCGAAAATCTACGTGCGTGGGTGGGCGGGGGAATGGGAATTACGCGTGATTTTGGACTGCCGGACAATTGCGGGGTTACTAATTCTCCTAATCTATGATATGCACTTGGGAACGAAAAACATAAACACTCGCGCTTTTGCGGTTTTTTTGTGGGGATAGCGTAATTTCTGGCGAGTTGATAAAAAAAACAATAATGCAGTAATACCACGGTGGCGCCTTCTGGCGGCCAATACGCGAACTTCGGGTAGGGATGGAACCATCGGGCGCTAGCGTGACTGAGGCACATATCGGTTAGCAGCTATCGGGTTGGAAGCGTGAGTGTTTATTTATATATTTTTAATTCAGATTTGATTCCCTATGATTTAAAACAGAATAGATATTTTCTCAGATTTCTGAGCTCAGATAAAATTTCTCTTGCATAGGTTTTTTGGTTTTTGCTCAACTTTTTAGTTATACAATTTATTCAAAATATATAATAAAATTAAGTTCTATTATAGCTGGAATAAAATTATAACTAATAAGTAATTTGTACGTAACTGAAACATAATCCTTATTTTAAACAATTAATTTTCTTTATTTATTGCGTAGTTTTAAAAACACAACAACACGTTTCTACCGCACTATCGATAGCAGCCATCTGTAATCATCGCCAACAGCACGCAGTCGATAGTGCTATCGATTATTTTGCAGCACTAATAAATTCCATTTGCAAGCTAAAAAATAGGAAAAAATAAAAATATCTTTGATCGCAGCCAGCTAGTGGAAAACCGAACGGAAAATCATGTGTCACCGGTGCCAGCGGACGAAGGCCCGGGATTAACTGAGTGGGTGCACCCATATCCAGACCGAACGGATAGCAGCGCACTACTCATCGAAATTCGAGACTTCCCCGAGTGGACCAACGAAACCGCAGCAGAGAGACTCGCCTCCCGTTTGTTTGCATTACGGCACGGCGGGATCAGGGGATTCCCCGTCCGGCTGAGATATGGCCATGCACTCGTACATGCGCCAGGGATCGGGATCGGGATCCGGAGGAGCAGGCGCAGGAGTCGTACCAGCTGGAGCACCGCCGCTGGCCAGTCCCGACGAGATGCACGGCTTCCTGAAGGACAAGCAGGCGTGGGAGCACGCCATCTCCTTGTACCAGGGTCCGGATCCCCTCGATCACTGGTACAACTACATCTGCTGGTACGAGAATCATGCGCACAGCGATCCGGAACTCAAGTACCGCGAAACTCTGGAACGCTGTCTGACGGTCTACGAGCACAACGACTACTACCGGCAGGATGCCCGTCTGGTGCGGCTGTGGCTGAAGTACATAGCCATGCAGACGGATCCACTGCACTTCTACCAGGTGCTCTTCCAGCGGGGAACCGGTCGCCAGGTGGCCGCCTTCTACATTGGCTGGGCCGCCTACTATGAGTCGCGCGAGGAGTTCAAGGATGCGGAGGCGGTCTTTAACTTGGCCTTCCAGGAGAAGGCCCAGAGCAATTCCGAGCTGCAACATGCTCACACAAAGTTCAACTATGCCAGGTCGCTGTTCCACCAGCGACAACAACAGCAACAGCAGCAGCATCAGCAACAGCATCCCCAGCCGGATGCACTGCAGCAACTAACAAACTACGCACAGCAGCAGCTGCCGCAGAGCTACCCACCACCACCACCACCACAACAACATCAACAACAACAACACCGTCCCCAGCCATATCAGCAGAATGTCTATCAGCAATATCATCCGCAGGCGCAGCAACATCCAGCCACACAGCCACATCAGGCGGCGCCACAGCCGCTGGCCTATCAGCAGACACACTACCAGGAGCAGCCACGCTATGAGCCACATCCGGCGCCTCAGCCGCCAATCCACGTCCAGCAATATGCTCCAGTGGCAGAGGTGAGCCTCACAAGTACATTTACAAAGCTGTTACTCAACTATTTCCCTTTTAGCCCCACTATGCACCTGCCCAGCAGCAACAGTTGCCGCCACCACAACAGCCTGCAGCACAGCAGCAACATCCACAACAGCAGCAGCAGCCCCAGCTGCAGCAGCAACAACACAATGGCAACGGCAATGGCAATCCTGCGCCTCAGCCAAATCCTCCACCGGCGGAAAGCGAAGTGGCTGGCCTGCGTTTGCCGCGCAATTTCCACGCCTACGGGCGCAACAACCATGAGACCTGGAAGCCAGCGTTGACGCTCGAAGAGCCGGATGATCCTTCGCGGGTGTGCCACTATGCCAAGCAGTTGGTCTATCCCCCGGGCGCAGGCATCGAGTACAGTCCCGAGGAGATACTAGCCCGCAAGTTCAAGCAGCTGATGGAGCAGAAGGCCAAGCCAGCGGAACAGCCAGCTGAACAGCAACAGCAAACTCTATATGATTCCTACGAGTCGCAGACATCCTACTACATGACTGCCGTGGATGGAGCTCTCTACGGGCAGAACAACAGCAGTGGCCCGGAGAATACGGGCGAGGAGGATGAGGACAACGAGGCGGAGGAAGGTGAAGAGGAGGAGGAGGAGGAAGAAGGCGCCGCGGGTAATGAGGATGACGACTCCGATGAGGTGGAGGAGGAGGAGGACGACGATGAAGAGGAGGAGGAGGAGCACAGCGAACCCTACACCAATGGCGTGCAATTCAGTGCGCAAACCACTTTCGAGCAGGAGAACCGCTCAATAAAGATCAAGTTCAGAAAGGAGCCCAGCAGCACCTACAGTGCCTACACCATTGAGAATGTCTACCAGCAGCAGCAACAGCATCAACATCATCATCAGCAGCAGCAGCAGCCGCATCATCAGCAGCAGCAACATTATCAGGTTATCCAGCAGGTGCCGCCGCAAGCCGTTCATCATCCTCAGCCGCCGGAACCTGCGCCCGCTTCTCCCATTCCCATCCAGCGTCAGCGCAACGGTGGCGGCCAGCATCACCACTTCCATCCCTACATGTTGGGCCAGACCTCGACGCCCAAGAGCGAGGCGAATGGCTATCGTCGGGCACGCACCAAAGTCAAACGCAGCAAGTTCCAGCCGGATCTCTGCAGCAACAGCAACTCGGCCTCCTCGGCGGCGGATGTGGTGACGGCCAGCTCGAGTAGTGTGGCTGCTCCGGTTGCGCCGGGTGCTCAATTCAACGACAATGCCAACTTCTCGTTCTCCAGCGCCACCGCTTTGGACAATTCAAATAGCTCGCTGGCCTTGGCCGTGGACAGGCTCAACTTCCGCGACTCATCGCAACAGCAAATCCTCAATCCGGTCAATAAGACCCTACAGACGCACAACAACAACAATAACACCAGCAACAACAATAATGGCACCAGCACACTGGCCGATTTCTCCACGTTCCAGGAGAACTCCTACTTTGCCACCCAGCACGATACGGAGGCTCAGGAGAGGCGGCTATCGAAGGCCAAGGAAACGATTGCCCGCCATTTGGCCAAGGAGGCCATTGATCCGTTCAACAGCGAACTGTGCCGCGCCTTCCTCGCCAAGCTGGACTTTCCGGGCGATCACGATGCCCATGCCAGCTACAAGATTGTGCAAACGCCACTGCCAAAAATTTCCAACACGCGCACGCTGAACGTCCTCGAGGGCGTCACCTTCAACATCGACAAGGAGGTGGGTCGCGGCTCGTACGGCTCCGTGTACAAAGCCACCGATTCGCGCACCGGCAATGTCGTGGCGCTCAAGTACCAGAAGCCCCCAAACACCTGGGAGATTTACATATGTGATCAGGTGAGGATCGGTTAACATAGTTTTAACATTGCTTTGAGTGTCACTTCAATTAAAAAAGAGCATTTGAAAAAAATGTGCATTCTTTAAAAACATTTAAATGTTGTTGACAACAAGAAATATTCTACAATTTACAAATTATATTTGTAAATATCAAATATTTAAGGATAACCTGAAGAAATCTAGTCAATTTGGACTTAAATATCAATTATTAATTATTTATCCAAAAAGTATTTTATTTGTTTATCAACATATTTTATTTGCCACTTAAAATTAACAGACTGTTTTATTAAATTAATTATTATTGTTTCTAAGTCTACTAACTGTCTAGAAATTACAAGTATTTAAAGACTAATAAAATAAATCTAGTCAAGTTGTATAAAGATAGTTATGCCAAATTTTATTAAAAAGGTTTTTTTGTATTTACAAATATTTGCCAGATATTTGCATAAATAGTTATTTTTTAAAAATGGTTGTATTAAAAAAATTCCTTTTACCTTGGATTAATATATTATTTTTGCAACACACTAAGATAAATAATCAACTGCCAGTAAAAATTAATAAAAATTTCTATATTTTAGGTGCTGAAACGCATCAGGGAGCCGGAGGTGTTGCCCGGCCTGATGGACATTTCCACGGCGATCATCGCCCCCAATGCTAGCCTAATAGCCACCGAGTTCTCGCCGTTTGGATCGCTGTTGGACATCAACAACAAGATCCGGCAGGCCACCACCAAGGTGATGCACGAATCGCTGGTGATGCACTTCTCGGCGCAGATCTGCAACATCGTGGACCACCTGCACCGCCAGCACATCATCCATGCGGACATAAAGCCGGACAACTTCCTGCTGATGCGCGTGCCCAATGTGGACAGTCCGTTGCCGTCGCTGCGACTGATTGACTTTGGGTGCGCCATCGATATGACCCTGTTTCCGGACGCGGAGCGCACCAAGTTCCGCAAGGTGGTGCAAACGGACGGCTTCACCTGCATCGAGATGCAGGAGGGGCGCAGTTGGTCCTACGAGACGGATCTCTTTTGCATTGCGGCCACCGTGCATGTGATGCTCTTTGGCGACTACATGCAGCCGCAGAAGAAGGGCTCCAGCTGGGACATCCGCCAGAAGCTGCCGCGCTACCTCAAAAAGCATGTGTGGACCAAGTTCTTTGGCGAACTGCTCAACATGGAGGCGGACAAACTGCCCGCTCTGCAGGAGATGCGACTGATCTTCGAGGAGGAGGCGTACCGCATGGACTCCGAGCTCCAGAAGCAGATACGCGCCCTATCCAACATCCTGCATCGACGATAACCAACCTATTACTATTACTCTTTTTTTAAATTTGTACGTATAACTCTGTTGTTGACCAAGTCACCCAAACTTCAATCTACCATCATTTCCACACTCTTTGAAGAAGAGAAAACCAAAATCCTCCAACTTGGTTGAATTTGTTTTCCCCATTTTGGCTAAAACAAAACTTTTTAGTTTAGGTTAGTTCTCTAAAAAGAAC